AAAACAATTTATAGCGCTCAAATGTTCTAAGAAGAGATGACTGAGAATCACTTTTCACCCATCCCACCTCTGTGAAATTTAATAATTGTGAATTGAGATCTTCAAAACACATGAAAACAGTTTTCCAAAGCTGTGAGAATTCAAAACTGATGGTGTTAGGGAGCAAGGAGATAAGGCCATTTCATTTCTTTTAAGGTTAACTTTGTACGGTCTGTTGATCTAGTTACAATAGTGATGTACAATAAAGCTTTTATTGTTCTGTCACGAGCGCTTTTAATCACTAAATGATGACCGTGACATTTTTGAACGCTTTTGTTTTTATTGTGATCAAAGCGATGTCTCCGGCTCTAGTTTTGCAGTAGATATTGTTCCCTCCAGTGTAATTGATCTCAAGTCGCCAAGCTTTTTTTTGTGAAAATTGAACCAAAAAAGTTTTTGATGCGTGCGACAGAAACCCAGCAATTAACGCAAGCTGTTTGTTTTGAAATTGAGATTTTCTTTCAACTGTGTCTAACCAAACAAATTAAAACTCAATTAGTTTTACGAGGAGCGCAATAGTGTATAATTATAGTTCTGACAGCAGATGACAGCTCCTTGAGGTTTGAAGAGTCTGCAACTCTTTTAGAAAGGGAGTTGCATGTTAACTCACTCATCCATTGATTTCAGGCTATAGTAACTGATTCTGCCACTCCTTGTCTTGTTAATAGTATTGCTGAACGTCTTTCTCAGGACGTGACTACTAATAATACAGTAAGTCTCTACATGATAGCAAATGTTTGTTGAAAGGATCTTAGCAAAGCCTTGAATTTCAACACATGTAATTTCAAGGTATTACTCGAAGATCAAAATGTTTGTATGAGTAGAGTGGAAAACACAAAGAGTCAAAACTAGTCAGCCATGCCGCTAGAACTGAGACAAAGTAAAGCTAGCCAGTTGGATTATGCGTGGTAATCCTTCCACAAAAACATCTGTATTGACTAACGGTTTCACTTGTCGGGAGAGTTAATTATTTTCAGCATATACTTGAAACATACACGTATGCTCCAAAACTTCAAACGTCAAGCTTCAAACAGAATCTTTCGGACGATTTTTTTCTAAGAGTTCAGGAGAGTTTGGAAGATTTCTTCTCAATAAACTCAGACTTCACANGAAATTAAATTCGATTAAATTTACAAATTTGTCTTTAATAAAAATAACAATTTTTGTGCGCTCAATACGTTATTGCGATGTATGTTTGTGCCACGAGAGAAAAAGTATTTAGGATATTTCTTCACGCGTGCGAAAGTTCATGTAAGAATTGTTTGGACGGACAGCTAGTCATCAAAACCGAGAGGCCGAAATAGAGAACAAACGTTTTCTTTCGACTCACGTATTTCGTGATGGTCTTGGTAAAATCATGTGCACTTTGACACTGACCTGTGTTCACATAGGAAATTTTTAAAATTAGTTTTCAAGAGGTTTATGATTTATAGACATTAACTTTCATGGAAATACTAGTTAAATTCACCTGTCTCGGAACTAAATAATTTGAAGAGGTATCTACAGTCTTTTTTTATATCCTGCCTTTCCACTTTGGTAGTGAAAACGTATTGTATATACTGTAACAAATGGTTTGTTCCACATGACCGGAGAAGCTACTCGGCGATCTGAACATGAACGTGAAGTGTATTTGTCAATTAATTGTTAAGATAAGATTGAACCGTCGTTATTTTAACAGCATCGGCTATTTCAGAAACAAATTATAAAAATTCGCAAAACGAAAAGAACCTGCTGCAAGTTATTGCAGTTGTATTTCAAAAAAACTTCACGGTGGCTTTCGCTTCTGTAAAGTCATGTTTAGACAGAGCAACTCAGTGCTTTCCCAATCAAGGAAAGGACCCTTTTGTTTGTGTGTCCCTGGTGTGGTCCTTAGATAGGGTAGCTTAATTGTCTTAATTGTATTATCTAATACTGGAGTGTGAAAACGCCCGCCTGAACGAACATTTTTTTTAAACTAGGCTTATTCTAGTATTTTATGCTTGATGCTATACATCCAATGTTACAGAGAAAAAATAAAGTTTTCCTTTTCATGCTATTAATAATTTTGTTTTTTCCTCGAATAGGGTGTCATTTTTCGGCTTTCGGCCGTAAAAAAGGTATCAGATTTCGCTTTCTTAGTCCTTAAATAGGGTTAGGGTTTACGAACCTTCGCGGCACACCCCTATCAAAAATTCGCGGGAGTACCCCCCCGGGACTGAGATGACGAAAAATGTTGCACAATTTGTGGTTCAGCCTCCCCACCCTTTCATTTCGATCATTTTTGACAGTAAAAAGCGCACCTTTCTTTTATCTTCAACTTATGATAAGTAGTCTGACCCATTTCACATACCTAAAACGGAACACAGTATCCCTTTTAACTTCTGTAACCGGCCCTTCTTTAATTTTGAACAAATCAATAAGCCAGGACGTTTTGTTTTTTTTTGTTTCCTCACCCATACGCTAAGATGGATATGTTTGAAATACTTAACTTAAATCACCCTTTTTAAAAACCAAAGTAACAGCTAGATTTCCCCAACATTTAATATACTTCATCTCGTGAAATTCCTACCTTCTCATGTCACATACTTTAAGCCTGACTGAGAATTGAACCCTTTTCTGGTGCAGCCTCTCCGTATATTGGCCATTATAGTGACTACCCCCCTCCCCTCGCCCTTATTTCACTGAAAAACAAATTTACCTTTTCCGTCGAAAGAATATACGACTTGCGTACTTAGGTTAGCTTCAAAATCTGTAAACCACTAAACTGGATGACTCCAGGCTTTTCAGGATACTTGTGAGGTAAAATTAAAGAAAATACGCAATATGATAAAATTGACAAATACGTCAGTGGCATTTGCGCAAGATCAACTTTTTCTTTGTGATCACGTATAAGTTTTAATTTAGCTGATTGTGAAAACAGCATATTTAGGGTATAAATAAAATTATCATAAAAAGGAACAAAACTAATAACTTGACTGATCAACTTTTTCTGACATAGAAGATCAACAAAGCAGCAACCGGAGTAAGGGTCGTAAACGATTAGATGATTTCGCATCTTCACTGAAATTACAAAACGTAGTAAGTGCGCATTGGCTGAAAGAAGAGAATAGGGTATTAGACAACATATAAGACATCACTTACTTTATTTTCTGTTCCTGATGACGAAACGACCATAAGACACAACTTCCCGGGTAAATTTGGTTCTTTAACTAAGTGGATAGTACCGCAACGCAATAAATCACGAGACATAAAAGAGAACACGCGCTATCACATGAGAATCACGGTCCTTTACACAGCATACCTAGATATCAAAAGCCATCATAGTCGGCTGCATCACGAGTTATCGGCCAATAAGTTCATAGCCATTCAAATAATAACGAGAAGTATTAGCTAGTAGAGTGTCTATTGAAACGGCGACTCACGGTACATATGATCATGTTCTCTTGTATTGACTCCTACGCTTGAGTTTAGATCAAGAGAGAATGGTTTAGATTTAACTCCGTCTTTACATTAGCGGCTAAAACATAAATTGCGTTGACCGCCAACAGACACAACTCAACACAAGGAGAGCACACCGGTATATTCAGTTTATCAATCTGGAAGACACGGTGCGACCACTCCCCGTTGACTACGTCGAAAAACTACAACCTCTCTTCCGCCCTTTTTCTAGATTTAAGGTGATGTTACACGGAACGATTCACAGCTACGACAACACAGCGCAACACTGCGTTGCAATGTCGGAACAATGTTGTAACCTTTCGAAACAATGGCGCAACAACATTGGAACGCCGTGTTGCGCTACAAATCGTCGTTGCGAATCGTCTCGTGTAACATCACTTTTAATTTAAGTATAAAGAACTAAGAACTTCACCTTAGTCTCCTAACTTTATGGCACTTATAACTAAAAAAAAAATTAACTCTGAGATCCCCTCTCGGTTTCATTTTTTATGTATTGCAGCTTACTCAATGCCGGCCGATCAATTTTGCTACTATGATGGACTGAAATATATTTTTTATGCAAAAAATGGGTAAACATTTACGTTTTTGTACATTTAACACAGTAACAACAACCAACTGTTCTATAACTCATCATTTGATAAAATTGAGAAATGGCTTATTTGACTAATGAACTTGATGAAAAACCTATCAGTATCCAGATTTAATCACTTTTTTTGACGAAAGAAAAAAGTTTGTTTCTTTTTTAAACAGAAATTTTATCCTAGAAATGAGGTGCAAAACATGAAAAAGCGGTCCAATACTTCTTGTAATGCACGTTTATTAAAAGAAAGTTTTCATAATGTTTACTGTAATGCTTGTAACAATATATATGACATGTTACAATGAATTCAAACCAGTTTCTTTGGGTTTTTGTTTGTACTGTGTATGTAGTAAATGCACCATGTATTGCAATTAAAAGAAAAGATATGAATAGAGAGAAGGAAGTAAAAAAAGGAAAAAGAGGAAGCTTTGAGGTTCGATTATGAGTTGATTAAATTTAGTGAGCGAATGAGTGAGTGAGAAAAAGTCAAGCTTGTTAATCTCCTACCGGAGCTAACAATTTTATCGATGGTTGACAGGAAAGTTTTAAATTTACAGTCCGACCAATAATACCGCTGTTATCGGATACATAGAATGATGGATTTTTATTAACGAATCCTTAGATGACAAACAATATCTTATTGTCAGTGTCCAGGTGATATAGATCTATTTCCAAAAATGTTTTATTTCCAAAAACCTGAACTCAAGGAACATTGTAGAAATCACAGTAGGTTTCCGCGACTGGATCAAGTCAAATGGACGAGAATACTATATGTTTTCAAGTTGTCCATTGTTAAACTCCATGGTGAAGAAAAAAGAATAATTAATTTGTCAGAATCTTTTTTAAATTATACTTTGCCTATTCCGTCTAAAAGAAACCTCAAGGAGGACGATGGCAAAAGAAAAAGACTAACTGTACAATATTTCCAGGAGAAGAAGGGAAGATGACTGGAGAAGACAGTCTTTCGTCTAAGGCTGGAACATTTGGTTTGAAATTTAAAACAATATGGTTTCTTATTTTCTTGTTTACGGCGTGTTGTTCACAAACAAGCCACAATGTCACTGTGTTAATATTGTTTAATACACATTGTAATCAATACTTTTACGAGAAGGCTGAAAAAGTGTTGCGCCAAGACATTTTTTCACGACCGTCTGAACTAATACACTTGAAGCTGTTAAAATCTAACGTCTCTCAGATTATAAACCGCACCAAATCCGGCGGAGTCCTTGAGGCGCTTTCATTTATAGAAAGGAACTTTGACAAGATTGACGGGACAGTATTTGTGGACGCCACGAAGGAAGATTTAGTTTTCTCCTCAGTGCTAGAAGATCTCAACGTCTTAACGGTTGGATTATTTCAAGACGAAAAGCTCCTTCAGACTCAGGTAAAAACGATGCGTGTCTTAAAAAAAACATAATGCATAACTATATTTCCCGCTTTTCTTGGTGATAATGACTGGCACAGAAACCTAAATGAAATTAGTGTCCTGAAACATCTACGCTAATCGCAAGGGTTTCTTCAACAGAAATGAATAACTAAAAATCTAAATCAATCATCATAGCTTTATTTCTCAATTTCCCAAGAAATAATTATTTGGTGATTGTCATAAATATTTAATGATTTATTATTCCCTTTAGCCTTACTGAAAAGACAAACTATACAAGTTCTGTAATTGTATTTGTATCGCCTTTCAATAGTCATCTATTTCCACTGGTGTACATAGCTGCTAAGAAATGACGACATTTTGTAGGCATGCTTTTAACAAAAACCGTTCATGTTGTGAGGGAAAGCTCAGTTTAAACTTCAGAAATTTCGCACCACGTATGTGTTCATCAATAGCTTTGGCTTGTATGTTTTTTTCCCAATGCAGGTCACGTGATGGTACTCAAGAGAACTCAGTGTTTCACATCAAATTCCATCTTATTCCCTTGCGTATGTACTCATACGGAAAGACACAGACTAAGGATCATATGCCCCTGGAACTTCATAAAGAAAACAAAACATACAAGTTAAAGAAAAAGTCGCCTGTATTAATCTTGTTACTGGATGGAATTCAATAAAACTTGCAAAACATTTACACCAATTCGAACAGAAACTATTTGCCAAAAAGAAAGTTGCAATGCGATACTTAGAGTAACATGCAAAATAAATTTTTCTATTATTATCTTCAGGAAAGCTTGGCCGTATTTTCAAGAACAGCATCTCCTTCAGTGTATCACTATGTTACGTCAGCTTGGAGAATTATCACTAAACATCGATGGCACGGTATTTGCGTAATAGTGTCAGCGACCTTCGAAGGAATGATTTTTGCAGAGCAGATAAAGAAGTTTGCTCTAAAAGAAAAATGGAACATCCGGAAAATAATCTGGTTAATGGAAGACACAAATATAAATAAAACAATGGAAGAAATCAACAATGCAATTACGAACAATAATACGGAAGCTATTGTCATGCATAGTAGGTCAGGCAACGAGGAAAGATTATTCAAGTTAATTCAAGAGTTAGGTATTGACAAGTATAAGACTGTTTGGATTATAACTGACATTACCACCCAATTTGTCAATGAATTAAGCAATCTCCCACAAGGACTATTAAAAATCAGTCTTAGAAGGCCAACACGTTGTCATGACTACGGTATCTATGACGACGCTCTTCGCGACATAATGTTGCTGTTTCAGTTGTCTTTTGAAGAAAGTTTGAGGGAACTTTTCAGGAAATCAGGTGTAATGAGTTGCAAAAAAGAAATCAGCTCCCAGGAACTACGGCGACTTTCCAAGAGGTGAATACATCTTTGACATCTTTGCACACCCACAAAGAGTTACTCCACTTTGAGGAAGCGAAAATTGCTTTTCTTACACTCGTTTCATGCTGAATTCAGTATATTTGACGATCTGGTATCGAGAGAGGTCAAACTACAGTTGCCCCCTCCCTATCCCTGGCATTCTTACAGGATATTACAAGTAAATCCTCTTTCTTACATTCAAATCCTTGCACAGTTTTTAATGTACATCCCCTGTACATCCTCTGTTTTTCTTTTGATTTCTTCCTTTCAACCTCGCTCTGGTTTTAAATGTTGAAAGCTTTACTGAGCGCACAACTAACCCTTTTTCTCAGTCGTTTTTAGTTTCAATAGTTAAGCAGCCATCGATCATCCGCCGTCTTTAAAGAAGGCGCCTGAGCACATATTTAAGGAATGCTGCACAGTTTGTTCATTCCCTAACTGGTGATTTGTTTATTGCACTAATTTTATATTCCTTTCTACAGGAAGATGGTACAGACTTCTGTTTCAGAAAGAAGCATGCTATTTAATACCAAACAAACCGAAAATAGGAATTACACTTTCATGATTTGGAATCTGAACGAAGATCTGCTTGGTGAGAAAAACTGGTTTCCTGTCGGAATGGGAGCACCAGTTGGCGTTGCGATGGAAACCTACAAATCTCCCGACGGAAAATCTATCACACCAGTTTTTCAACATCCAAGACCTGTTATTCGTGTTGCTGTGAATGAATACCCGCCGTTTGTTTACAAGGTGAATGTTGCCAGTGAGGAGGGTTGCGTAGGTCGCCTTTTGCCTTGTCATGAGGTTCAAAAGATGTTTTGCTGCTTTGGAGCATCACTGGATTTTCTTACGTTTCTCATGAAAGATTTAAACTTTGAAGCCTACGTTTATTTCAATCCAGATGGCAGATTTGGGGTAATTGATAACGCTACTGGTCATTGGAATGGAATAGTTGGTGAATTGATACGGCACAATGCAGAGCTTTCCCTGGAAATGGGGCTCACCGAAAGAAGATCGCGCGTGATCAGTTTTGCGCATCCAACTCTGCTGTTAGAGCTAGGAATCTTAATTAATAGAACGGAAATACGCAAAGGTATGCATCATTCTTGATGCTTATTGGCTATTTTAAGGTTGAGATGGGTCTGGTCGGTGTTGTATCGTATTGTCCCTTGGGACACTTTGAGGACAGTATAGCTTCTCATTAGCAGCCATTTCGAGTTTGCGCAATGGACGGGGTTCCATTCCCCTTCAAACAAAGGTGACATATATTCACACTTGCACGCTTTTATCTACGGCGCACGATTTTCGTGCGTTTAATGACTTCCTTTTCATTCAAAAAACATTTTGACAAATTATCACAGTCAATATGTAGCTTCAACTTATATCAGTTGATATTTAAGTCCCCTATTTACTTTTACTAATTAAAAATATAATGCTGGTTTGTCGAGTTCCATCGGATTATATGCTGAATTTTTTTTTCTAGATTTATTGAAAGATTCTTGGCTTGATCCTTTTAGTAAGAGTTTGTGGATGACACTGTTGGGAACATACTTTGGGTTAATCATCGTAATTTGGTGGCTGGACAGAAAGAGTCCACAGGGACATCATCGCAAACTTCAAGAAAGTAAAGACCTGTATGGATTCACCTTGCTAGGTACGTACTACCCCTTTACCCCTTTGGCAATTTTTTTTCAGAGTTAGTAGAGTGATAAACACGCGAAAAGCGAGAAACGAGGGTGGTGGCCTCTCACGTCTCGCGCCCTCCATATTCCTTTGCTCGATGGACTAGTAGAGACTGGGAGAGACTAATCCTGATCTACTATTGAGCCTCCCCAGTTGTATAACTCGTAACGTCGGACTTTGGAAGTCTGACGTTCAGCCCAGTCAAGACAGTCAAACTTTTTATTTTAACGCTAGACGTTCATATTTTCGTCTGACGTTAGGTTTATGTTGACGCTGCAATCATAATACCTCCAACTGCACGTATGCTTGTTTTCCCTGCGGGACGACGCGAATGTCACTTGTAATGAGGGACAGTAAAAATACTACGACTTTCTTCTTCCTCTTTTTAACCTTGGATACTGTCCTTGAGATCCTACTCCAAAGACGAAGTCAGTGAATTAGAATAATCGCGATGAAGTTTGAAAGAAGGCAATTTCACCGTGACTTTTCATGGTACCTTAAAGTCAATAATAATTACTGTATTTACTCGAATAAGCACCGCCCCTGAATAAGCACTCTGACCCTGAAATAATCAAAATCAAAAGACATTAATTCTGTTGGTTAAACACGGAAAATAATTATACTATAGTCAATACAATTCCTTATCGCGCTCAACTTTCAAATAAATGCCGCCCTCAAATAAGTGCCGTACTTGGGCGTGAAAATTTTATAAAGCGCCGCACTTTTTCGCGTAAATACGGTGCAGTTTTTTTTCGGGTCATAGGCTTCTGATAACGGCTAAGATTATTTATCTGGATCATTGTTTAGTCAAAGTTCTCTTGAAGACAACCAAATAAATTGTTATTGTAGATAAACCATGAAAAAAAATATAGGAAATTCACTAAGCGAAAAACGCAATCTGCGTTTCATTCTTTGTTACATTTTTGTACTCCTTCTAAAAATAGTTGTGATTTTGACTTGCTCAGTTTCCGACAATTGAAGGTCAGTTTTAGGCCCTGTCCAAACGTAGCCGGATATATTTGAAAAAGGAGCTTTTTGTTCCGTTTTCAAAAAATACGTGTCCATCATAGTGTAGTGGAATCGTTTTCGCCTGTCCACATGAAAACGCTAAAACGATGGAAATACGATAAGGAAATACGATAGCATCCCTTACAGAGCATGCGTAATGCTAATTGTCTTTTTTTGTAGTTGTACATGATGCTTTTTTTCTCAAAAAGCTGTCGTTTTCAAAAATCTCCACTCTGGGGGAAGTTTTTGAAAACCTGCGTCTTTGGTACCCGAAAAAGACGTTTTCGTGTGGACGAAAGGCTAAAACGAAGAAAAAATCTCCGTTTTCAAAAATATCCGGTGGACGGGGAAAAAGAGTAACACTTGAGATGTTTTTTAGATTCCGTCAGCTATGTTGGAGGTGTAGCATTTGGGAAAGACATTGGACCAGAGAGGACTCCTCTTAGCACCAGCTCTAGAACTGTAGCTTATGTTTTCTCCTGTCTTGCTCTCATCATTATTAACACTTACTGTGCCAACTTGACGGCATTTTTGCTGGTTGAAACTGATCGCTTTCCAATAACTGGAGTTAACGATCCAAAGGTGGGTAGTATTTAGTAGTACCGGGTAGTACCAGAAACTCATAAGGGGTGGAAACCAGCAAATAGCCTTCAATGCTCGTGAATATTCATTTTTCTAAGCACCATATTTGGAAACCCTCGCTAGGGCCTCAAAAAAGCATTATGTTTAACAACAACACGCTTTTTTTGTGCATTTCTTTGCCGTCAGCGCACTATTACGACGTGAAAGTGCCTAATTTCACGTTTTGTGGAGGACGTGAAAAAAGACTTTCTTTTCCTTTTCATGAACTTAGATACAGTCAGTCAAGAATTCTACTCCACAAAAATTTGCTAACATTTGACGAATTGAACGAGGTAGAAAAATAAGCGCGATAAACTTTGAATCAGCGCGAATTCACTTTTTAAGAGACGTTTTCGTGGCCGCCGCCGTCGTTGAGCGGGCGCGAGAACCTGGAGTAAAATTACTTCTAGTCGTCCACGAAGTGTGATTGGTCAGTTTTCATTTGTTCTCGTTCCAAATATAGTACTTGCGAAAATGAATGTTCACGAGCATCGGCAAAGCAAACATATGAGAGTTACACCTTCAAACCCCTAATGAGCTTCTGCTAGTACTTTTTACATCACACACGTCACACTGAAACTGGCGGCCAAACCTCTTTCCCAGAGTTATGTCCCACTGATCTTTGCGGAACGAGAGAAAAGCAGCAGAAAACACTGGGAACGAGATTTTGAAACGGCCACGTTGGTTTTCAAACCGTAGTTAGTAGAGAAGACTGAAGGCGGCGGCAAACATCAGAGATACAAAAACAACGGTGCTACACTGCTAAAACAAATTCCGAGGGAGTTTGAAACTTTTTCTTGAGTTAACACTTCAATGAGGGTCATAATGGGGTTAACCGATAGGCGTAAAACGGCCAAAAATTTAGTCGATAGCCGTAAAAATTGAAAAATTTTAACCGTTAGCCGTAAAAAGGGGAAAAAAAAAGTTAACCGTAAAAGAAATTGTTCCCTAGATTTGCTACTTTTAAGGAAGGTACTAAACTCACCTATGGTTGCGTTTTTTATTTCGCGGCTAGTTTGGCTCCGCACGCACGTTAGGTAAAGCGCCTTTTAGGTGAAGACCCAACTTTTCTCTGACGCTACGGTAGACATTGCCATGCCTAGTCCCTGTACGGCGTCTTCCCACGCAATTTCGGTCAAGGCATTTCGGTGGCGAACTCGCTCAAACCACGTGACCCGAAACGCATTAGCCGCGCGAAATAATAAGGCCTACGGACAAGGCAAAACGGCTGACAGTGGTTCCGTACAGTCCTTCGCTACCATTAAAAACACTGGACACGGGAATTTTGTTATTGGCCGTTTTCACACTAGAGCTAGAAACGGATTATCCGTCTGAGACTAGCCTGTGTACAGTCGCCCCCTTCCCGACAGACACCCCCTCTCCGATTTTTTTCCTGAGGGTAAGGGGCGGTTGTACACAGGCTATCTGGAACGGATACCGTCTTCAAACTGTCCGTCGAAGTTGAAGGATAAAGTCAGGAGGATTGTTCATGCAAAATTAAAACTATTCCATTTTCAAATTAAGACGTATTACCTATCTGACGCTAATCATCAAACAGATAACCCGTCTCACACAAATAATCCGTCTTTAGTGTGAAAACGGCCATTTCTGTTGTAATGAATGTCGCGCACCGGCCTTGAGTTAGGCATTCGCGTGCGTGCTTTGCTTTTTCACAAAGACTTTTTTTAAATTGACTATTGACATTTTTATGTGAAAAAAAATATTAGAAGTGGAATAGTTTATAAAAAGTATGATCTATCAAATGTTAAAATTGTTCAAAAGAATAGCTTATTTCATATCCCGAGATGATCCTGAGACCTTTATTCTGCTTTAAAGATACAAAAAAATACAGGTTAATTAATATTTAACTTTTTGAAACAAAAGAAGTTAATTTTTAACTTTTTTGTTAACCGTAACTGAAAAAAATTAGCCGATAGCCGTAAAAGAGCCAAAATTTTAGCCGATAACCGTAAATGCCACCACCCCATTGAGACCCTCTTCCATCTGTTCTCAAATAAGGAAACATACTTTTACCATGGTAACTTTTAACACCAAGAAAATAACCACAACTTTTTAGGTGTTAATCGAGTGCTTGCGGCAAAGATCCACTAAAAAGTAGTGCCGGAAACCATTCTAACCTACCATAATTTCTTCTTTCATTTTTTAGCTTATATCAGAACCTCCACTGTTTAGGGCAGCTGTTATTGGAGGGTCAAGCGAGGAAGATTATTTCAAGAACCACGTTAAATCGTCATTCCGAAAGATGTACGAGGTTAATCTTCGAAGACACAGAGTGTCAAGCATGGAAGAGGGAGTCGAACTTATGCGGCAAGGGTAAGACAACTTCGTACAATGCTCAAATTTTGATTATTTGATGCTTATCTAAACTTTAATTGGCTTCTTTCGCTCAACTACGATATCCTAACTTCTTTTAACCCCACATTGTTTTCAGGGAGATCCACGGATTAATTGGAGATTATTTATCGCTCAGTAAAATCGCAAACACAGACAAAAACTGTAGTTTCAAATTAATGAAAGAGGCAGCGCCCAATTCTGGATATGGCTTTGCTCTCCCCAAGAACTCTCCATGGCTGCATGAAGTCTCACAGTCTGTATTAAAACACGAAGAAAATGGAACGATAGCGTCAATAGCGGATCGATGGTTTCCTAAATCAGTCTGCAAAGGTTTGGATTACAGAAGACTGGAAACAACTGACTTTATAACTCTTTTCTGGACGGTCGCAGCGGCATGTGTATTTTCACTGATCGTTTTATTTGCGGAAATTATAACGTTTTTTGCGTTGGTCAAATTTGGTACAAATCTTGGGCCACTGGGGAGGTTCTTGAAGCGATTTTTGCTGAACGCGAGAAGTGGGGAAGAAGATCAAACCCTAAAACAGCAAGGAGGGCCAGCAGTAGTCAAGGCATGTGACATCACAACAAGAGAGAGTGGTTTAGATAACAGCGCGTATAATGATATTTGTGAACTGGAAAGAAAAATCGCTTCTTTGCGATAAAAAACCGTCACGTTTACCACAAGTCTGGAGAAATTTTCGTTTACCTATTTATCTCCAGTAAGTGCCCGGGGGTTTATTTACATTTTAGGCTATCAGGGAAGCACCTCACAAACTTAATAGAAGAGACATTTTTGAATGTCGTTAGTTTTTATTTAAAGTGTGAAACCCATCAAAGAATGCAACATTTGATGAATAATAAATAAGTTAAACTCTTTTTAAAATAATATCGTAATTCCTCTGACCAGTTTCTGTTACAAACCAGTTGTACTTTTCCTCTTAAATATATTATATTAAATTATATTTCATTTTGGTCCAGCTTAGGTAAGATCACCCTTGCCTGGTCTCCAGACCCCATTATTCCACGCGACCTATGCGTTCCGGGTCACGTGGTCCGGACAAGTTTGTCCGCCGTTCGTCTCGGTTACGTCACTAAAATACTTCAACAGAGAAGGCCTGGGAAGAAGTCGTAAGGTACAAGGCAAAGATAACCCTAGTCTCCAGGCTGAACACTCGAAAGCAAACAATTCAGAAACTCGTCAGGAAACAACCATACTTTTAACGTAGCTAAAAACAAGCAAATTTGTGTTGCTGATATTGCTAAGTTGTAGAAGTTGGATAAAGTAATGCTATTTCCGGATTCCCATTTGCTGGGAAAGTTTCTCTGCTAAGAAAATATTATACCAATACCTACTAGTCACTTAAATAAAGAGAAGATGAAAAAGTAACAACAATAAAAATGCCAGATTTAGGTTTTCATCCCACTGTACCTAAACGACAAAGACTAAATAGAAACAACGACGGCGTAAAAAACGTTCGCGTAAAAAAAGCAAATGACACACTGTTTTTCCTTTTCAAAGCTTTAAAACAGTAGCTCCAACTGCAGTTTATTGTGAGCCCTGAATACTCGCCTCCAGGGTCTTGCCCGAGTTTGAAATGGCGGTGCGTATTGTGGTAAATAGTAGATCAGCACGTCAGTAAAAGATTATCAAATAATGTCCTTGCTACACAAGGAATGAAACACAAATAGCCGCAAGATACTGAAGTAAGACCATTTTTCGTCAAGGTTTCCCGACAGAATATTCCAAGGCTTGCCTTATCTCGGTTGCGTTGTAAATAGGTTTCCACGGCACTTTGAACGCGGAGAGGACCTGGCGACGACGTTACGAGTCTACAGCCCGAAAACGAGCTACGCAACAGTTACGTCCTTTTTGGTAACTAAATTGACCTAGCCTAAAATAACTTTTGAATCACAGAGGTCGATCAGTACGTTTCTACATTATTGTGTTTTGTCGGAATTGCCTGCACTCGTCCCTAAGGAGCTTTTCCGGTAGAATCTGGGAAGCGCCCAGATTCAAAGGGAAAAAGCCCTGGGGTAGAGGTTGAACATCCCCCCGCCTCCCAAAATAACAATATTCACTCAACTCAAACTCAAAGTTAAAGAATAAGGACTACGACAATTGTTTGCGGACTGGACCATTTCATGGTGAGATTTGAATTTTTGTCATCCGTTTACGGAAATTTTAGACAAATGACAAATGAAAATACTTAAATAATTTTATCACTAAGCGTAAACAACAACGTAAACACGTGTATAAAATTCCTGTTCACATAGTACTATGCTATAAAACACCAAAATCTTGTACAAAAGGTTTTCAAAGAAATGTGCTATTAAAAACTGCTTTCGCAAAAGAAATTTGACCAGGTTAACCCTGGGTTTAACACCATCTATACAGTCCCTTATGCTCTCACGCGCGCGGGATTTTTTTCTCTCCCACCGTTTTAATTTTTCAGTACTAGCGCCAATCACCCGGGCTGTAATTTGAAATATAATGTGTGTTGTCACTCCTAACTACCCACTAACACTGTAAATATTCTAAAATAAGGCTGCTATCAAAATATATTTGTTTCACAATTCGTCACTTGAGCAACCAGATAGCCTGCCAGCAAGCTCTCCTATTTGGGCGAGTGAAACGAGTCTCGCGAGAACGCGCGTTCTCGCGAGGCTCGCTTCGTTTGCCCAAATAGGAGGGCTCGCTCGCAGGCTAGCAACCAGAAGGGAACTGGACCCGAAATGCGCCTCGCAATTGTTTCTGGGATGGTTAGTGGGGACGCGCCAATCATTTTTGCCCTTGTCCCTAGAGACAGTCCCAGAAGACTTTGCAAAAGTTAACTCGACTCAGTATTGTTCTCGTGACGAATGGATCATCAAAGGCGGATTAGTGTATTTTCTTTTGGATTACTCTGTGTGTCTTTACACTTTGTATTTATCCAGTTCTGGATCTGAATGTGCCAGTACGAAAACGAGATCTGTTTGCTGGAGTATAAAGTTATAAGGTGGAGAGCAGATGACATATCGCTTAGATGAAGGGATTCCCAACTGCACCTTGTGACTGTCTCGGAATCTATACAAACCCAGGCAGATCTTAGATGAGGTCCGCAATGCGTGCAAAAACATATCCCCATACTTGCCACCATCCTAAAAAAGACATTCGAGAAAAAAAAAATTGTTATCTGAGAGCAGTCCCTTGTTGGTTAGTCAGACGAGAGAGAACTAACGAACCGAGAAGGAAACTGGAGAGAGGGGTGTGTTCCCTCGCCCGCTACCAGGTCTAAACACGCTCCACCGCGTGCGCGTCAATCCTTGGGTGGCGCTAGTAGCATATAAGTTTTTTTTTTCACATTGCACATCTCTATCTTCCTCCATTTGTTTACCTGTTTATTCGCTTACCTACTTGGGCAAATGTGATAAAGTAACTGTAATAAAAGTTGACGAAAGCGTATAAACCAATAAATTAGCAAATAAAACATAACATTAAAGTTTGTCAACTTTGGATTTGAGTTTCTATCTGAATGACAGCAAGTAGAAAAGATTGCCCACATTTACCGACGATAACCAAAAAGAGAACCCAACACTTACCTCAAAAACTCTTCCTCACGACGTTTAAGAGATCTCGATAAAGAAAATTTCCTCACATTTTGCCCTCTTTACCTACAGTTGTGTACTAGTTGGTACACTACTTAGAACTGTGATCGTATTGGGTTTTGGACCAGCTGTATGCGATAATCCCTGCTACGGATTTTTAAAAAAGGAGCTTACCCCGTACTGAGAGAGAGGTCCATCAAACAAAGACATCTGTATAATTTTACAACGACTTCTAGTGTCTGCAGTCTGTTCTGCATCCAGTCCTCCTTTCAGTTCATCCCCTTCAGCAATATGTTCTTCCAGGAACTGACTTACTCCACCAGTTACCAGATGACGAACTAATGTCAAAATGTCCGGGTTGAAGTACGTCTGTAATAATAAAGCAAAATCAGAATAACTTATACAATTGTTAAGAGATCAAAGTCACCTACAAACCGTTACAAACTGTGAAAAATGTGTTTCCGCACCCACAGGCCTAGAATGATGTCGATCGCCCCAAATCTGGTGCAGTAAACAAATTTCAGCTGCACCAATTGCAATTTTGTTACCTACAGTCAAACGGATAGGCTCGATTATCAGCCGCTGTTCGGGAAATGAGCCCGCAATCCTCCCTCGAGATCGAGTCTATCAAACTGGCAGAGCGACAACCAAGACCCCGGATTGCCAAACTGAGGCAGGCATATTGCAACCGATGCAGCCAGAAAGCAGTACATAAATGAACTAACCGCGCTCATAAGCGAATCCAACATGGAAACTGTAAAGGCTGTTCCACAGGCAAATGGCTGAGTCATGTACAAATCTTGATCTTCATCATCTTCGTCATCGACATCCAAATACTGCACATTTTGGTCAAACGCTGCATGAGAGAAAGGCAGGAGATGAGTCAGCAGCATTTATATCTCATCTTTGTTCGGGCGTAATTTGCAATTGCTTAAATTGCAATTACAACTGTGAGGGTCAAATCTTCGTTTAGATTTGTATTCCCGAAGTTCAGGTCATCTTCATTCATTTCACGAGTTGAGATGAACTCAAAAAATTGACCTCCTCCTTAACTTTTTACCAGCAGAATGTTAAAAGTTCAAGACCCTACGGGCAAGATGTTGAAAGTCGGGTTCATGATGCTACCGGAAAGAAGTGGAAATTTTCAAGCATTTCAACATTTTGTTACTCATCATATCAGTAATATCCAACTGTGGAAAGTCACAAAGGATAACTAACCAAACAAGTGATCCCACACTCAACCTAAACCAGTTTTCAGATCATCAGATAAACCTTTTCCCTAGGCTACCTCTGGAACGGTGGCTGGCAAAACAAAAGGTAATATACATACTGTCCTGCATTAGCTCGCAGCCGCGTTTCAATGCGTTTCACCTGACAATTTTTTATATTGTCGATCTGTACGAAAAATCACTCACCCACTTCTGTTATGATAGGAATATTGCAGCCATAGGCAGATCCTCTTCTCTCCACTCGTGGTGTCACACCAAAGTCAAGCCCAGCAAAAGCATTCCTTGTACTTTCACTCAACATTCCAACTGCATCATCAAATGACATCGCCTTGAGATTCAACGAAGCCAAAACTGATTCCTTGTCAGCGAGCTTTGGATCATCAGCTTTACTAGCCGTTGAAGGTGACAGGAAAACTACCATGTCTGCTAGATTAGCATTAACAGCTCGTAGATCAGCCCGACAAAAGGGAGAACCCTGTGATGTACGGAAAAAAGACGGAGAAAACAAGTGATTGGTCAGATCGTTGGACTTACAATAAGCTCTTTGCAGCTGGTCCCTCACGTGGCACAAAACCACATTGCTGGAGAGCACGGCACGCACTGGGATCAGACAAACAAACAAAGGAAATTACGCTTACCGGTCATCTCGCCCCCAAGTCATTTCGCCCCGGTTACTAAGCCCTCTATTCTAGAACGAGGAATATACTATGTTTGAAGCGTGCTTGTTTTGGATTACGGCTCAAAGAAAGAGGAATACTACATTTGAAGCGGGCTTGTTTTGCTTTATGGCTTAAAGAACGAGGAATATTACATTTGAAGCGCGCTTGTTTTGCTTTATGGCTTATAGAACGAGGAATATTACATTTGAAGCGCGCTTGTTTTGCTTTACGGCTTATAGAACAAGGAATATTACATTTGAAGCGCGCTAAATGACTCGAAAATAGGGGGCTAAGTAACTGGGGCGAAATGACTGACTAGGGGGCGAAATGACCGGTTACCGAACTCGTTGGGTTCCTTTAATTGTCTTGTCCCATAGTGCGTCTCTTGCTCTCCGCATGGCGGTTTTGTACCACATGAATGACTAGCTGTAAAGGGCCTATAGAGTTACCCCAGTTGGCGTCCTGTCCTCGGCCGCTAAGTGGATCAAAATTTCTCTCTAATCCCGAGTTTGGGTAGCCTCCCATGTTGACGTTCATAGGTCACGTGTTATTTCCCCAAGTTGGGGAGGATTGCGTGAAGAGCCAAAAGAACGACTGCGTGGGTAGTCTGGTACAAAGCCGTTTTTACTGTCGTCACGCAACGCTCCTGTGGAGGAACGTTGCGTGACGACAATAAAAACGGCTGTGTAGCAGACTAGTGCGTCGGAGGTTCGAGTTGGGGTTTTTATACATGTTACAGTTTGATTTGGACGATCTGTGATATCTGGAAACAAGCTGGAGCAGCTGAGTGAAGTTTTAAATATATGGGATTTTTTAAAACACTGAAGATTACGTTGGAAGGAAAATAACGATAAACAACTCCGAGAAAATTGAAAATTGACGTTCAGAGAAATGTTCCGAACTCTTGTGTAGACTATAAAGGGTCGTTTAGTTTCCACGGTTGCAAAGCAAAGCTTGTGCCACGCTTTTACGTTTCGTGTATTTTGAAGTGTTTGCAAAAAGTCAATTCAGGAACTCCTGAATCCTCAAAGAATGAAAATACTTACGGGAAGCACATATACGTCGTCAAAATTACACAGCTGATGCCACTGAAAACAAAGACAAAACACAAAATCTATTAAAAGCAAAATTACATTGTAAAAGTCAAGAGGCCATTAGTACTGAATGCATGTAAATTAAAACGTAAGGACTAAAAAAATCGCAATCGAAATACAGTAGCATTACCTCTCTCTCCATGTAGTCTTTATTTCCAAGAAAAACGATCTTTTTCAGTTCAGATTGTAACAGGTTGCTGGCTCTTAATGGTATCACCTGGAATTAAAAGTTGAGTAGAATAAACGTTAGTTTACGAATCCAATATGTGCATAAACGTAATAACTAAACAACAACAGATTTTGGCAATACCTATCAAGATGGATCTAAGCGGACAAGTGTTAAACGTGAGAAACACTGGAAATACATAAAATGATAACAGTAAATGACAAAAGATTAACACATCATACTAACCAAAGGTCTTAATCCCAAAAGAGGCGAATCCTTGTCATTGAAGAGACAAACGAGTATGTGATGAGAGAACACGATTTTCATCGCTTCTTCTCGGTTCTATTAAAGATACATAAAGCAATATTCAGTTAATAATTCACAAAGAAATTATGGTTTATTAATTACACGATCATTTATTGTAGCAAGGCACATCAAAGTTTGTTTGCAAATGAAGCGTAGAGGAGAAAGCCCCTTTTCCTGTTCGGAAAATTCCAAAACCAAAGTTGTGTTCAATTTTTGATACCAGCTCAGGCTTTCGCGGCCGTTTCTCGGCGGTGAATAGAACAACCTCGTTCCCAGGGTTCCATACTACTCTTCTCTTGGATCAGGGCACGAGAAAGAGAGAACCTTGGTAACGAAGTTATAATTAGGGATGACGTGCACAAATTGCGTTACTTATGATTGGTTAATGGTTGCCTTGACTACAACTGACCAATCAAAATAACGCTTGTCCACCCAAACGATCCCAGAAATCACTGCGCTCAAAGCTTGTACCCATTCTCCCAGAGTTTCTGAAGTGAGGAATTGTGTCACTTGGTGCCATGGTACACAAGAATGCGGCCCGCGAAACAGTCTACTAACTTTACCACCGTAGTTTAAAAAACAAATTGTTACAAAAACAGCATACCAGCAATCGATCTTCGAAGCGTGTCGGTTCACACCAGTAAAATGTTCCCGAAATGTCGAAGCATGGTTTCAATTCATTCCCTTGCGACTGCTGTTCTTTGAGTCTAAAGTAACCGAAACATTTTAAAATTAACACATCTGTTTTTCTTTATCTTAGGCTATCACACAGTGAATGATTTGCTGAAGAAAGAGTTTCTTTTGTCGATTCCCTGAATATACTTACGCTTTAAGTTTGTTCAGAACCTTGTAGGTACCAAGTTTTGATTCTCCAGAACTCTTTTGAAGTAAAGGGAACGTTGCTTTGGCACTCACTGTTTTGACTGAAAACAAACAAACATTATGATAGAAATCATAAATTAAAAAGATAAAATTAGTTTTACGATAACTAACAAACTTAAGGAATGCATTGCAACAAGACTTTTTCAAGAATTCAAGACTCTGTAGGAACACTGTTTCCTTTACTGCGGCCACCTCCCAGATGGAGACACAGTGCCCGCCGTCAGTCTGAACAGTGGTTGTCTTAAATAGAGTTAACTATGATGTAGCCATGCTTAGAGTAGCAAACAGTTTTTGAGCCAATCCATACAATCAGATGTAAACAGATTATTACAAACCTATGATGGAGCTTGCCTAGACCCTTTATGGCGTCTTCCCAGGCCTCCCTCGCTCGAACTCTATTACTTATGTCATTTTTGGAAATTACAGTGCAACCGGGAAAACAGTGAACACTTGAAATATTCCAAGAGTGTTTATTGTGTTAACACCAATCACAGCAAAGATTAGGACATGCGAGCAAGCCACAAAACCACAAACTAATTAACGTTCTTGCTAGCGGTTTAGTTTTCTCACGCTTGATTAGCTTTTTTCTTGCAACACAACAACATTCCAAAAATGATTCTGGTGTTCATGGTTTTCCCGGTTTGACTGAAACCAGTAATGAAGCTAAAAGAATTTTGAAAAATGAGAACCAGAGTCACCAGAAGAACTACCATCAAGCCACAGCTTACACGTGTCCATTTGCACAGTGTTTTCACTAACAGATGCATTTTCTGAGTTCCAAACTGCTTCCACCAAGAGAACCTCGTTTGTTTTATTTTTACGTCCAGGGACACCAAGAAAGTGGTCTACAAAAATCAAATAGAGCAGAAGACTTGCTCAATTGTAGACTGCTCTCTTAATGTGCACTTAATGATTGTGGATAACATGGTGTGAAATTTGATTTCCAGATGAGACAGCAGCTAGTCGGCTTCATGGACGAAAATGCAACTGTTGGTGAATGGAATGGGCTGGACTGGACTGCAGGCAGGAGTGAAAATGGACTGACATGCTTGGCACCGATGCAAGTGATGAACAGATCAAGAAGCAACCTGAAACGCAACTTGACTTGTCTGATTTAAGAACCTGATCTTCTAATTTAAAGCAGTAGTTAGGTTTGTATGACCCTGTTGTATGAGACGTTGTGCACCAAATAGGTACCAGGTGATGAAAACTGAGACAAAGGGCAAATCCCCACCCGAGAAAACGAAACACAAAACATACAAACTTAAGTGATCTATTGATCCTTTTCCTTAAGCGATTCCCATTCCAGATGTCAGCAATAAACCATCTTAAATTTGCTATAATTCTTGTCAAACACCTACACGGTGCTATGTATGCTACCACTCAGGGTTTTTCAGACTCACTTTACATTACAGTAAATAATTAGAGAAATAAGAAATATTGGATAAGATATTTAAAAGCCATCAATAGATAAATCTCCTAACTTACAAAATGTGGATTCAAGCGAAATTCTCTCAGTCTCTTAAACTTAAATTAAACTAAACTAAAACTTCTTGAATGTACAAGTTGTCAGCTACAGTAATCGCACGTGGTAAGGAATTTTTTAAGGGTAATAGCCCTGCATAAAAAAAGTGCCTTGTCCAGATGCTGATTGACGAACTGAGATATTTAAACTGTCCTTCTTTTAAGTGGTACTTATATGGTAGTATAGGTAGTAATAAGGTAGTTAATATTTGGTTGTAATATGGTAGCTGTAAATAATAATAATAATAATAATAATAATAATAATAATAATAATAATTTTTTATTTATAAGGCGCAAAATAGCATTTAAATATATGATCTAATGCGCACAAATAAAATAAACTACTTATCCCCATTGCAGTGATGTGCATGGTTGATGTGAAAGGCCATGAGAAAAGCATAAACAAACCATTGCTTAAGGAAGTCACTTCAGCACACATAATGCCGTGTTATTTGAAACTTGCCTCCATAGCTAGGTGCAGTTCCGTTTCTGAATCTGTCTTTTGGTGAAAAACTCAAGTGCATGGAATTCATGGATGAATCGTAATTGTAGCCGAGGTGAGGAGCCAAGTTCATCAGATCATCTGAGTGCAGTGCTTAAGAGAAGGAAGAGTCACAGTCAAGATGAAAACATTTGCAAAGCCGGCAAAGAAGTGTATCTCTACTAGCCTCCTGAGTCGGAAATCCTGTGGTTGGATTGATCCATTGAAACCTCTTCAGCGTTCATACAAAAAATTGCAACCATTTGTTCAGGACTTTTCAAGGACCTCATTCGATTTTCAAGGACAACCTACCCGGAATGTAAGTCACAGATTTGTACATAAAATAATGTCCATTCCCAGTCCAAGCTTACAGACTTTAAGGCTTGAACTGTTTGCTACACCAGTTTCTCTACATTTTTCAGTTCACTTGTCTAAATTGATAGTTAATTCTCGCATTCTCTCAAAAAATCCAGCTAGATATTTTTGGGATCTTATCACAGGTTCTCAATGACTTTCACTGTTCGATTTTTGACCAACAGAGTTTACAAATGATGCCTTCAACTAAAGTAACGATTCTTAGATATTCTGCAAAGCTGCAAAAGTAAGAAAACAAAAGCGTGCCGCCATAACTCAACACATTGATAGGTTGCCCACAAAAGTGTTTTTATACATGTGTAAATGGCAAGAAAAAGGGAGCAAGAACAGAATGCCTTTCAATTAGGTGAGCATAGTGCAGAAAGATGATACAATCCAGTGCAAGATCTTCGGTGAGTGTTCATTACGGTGGCTCTGATTCACAATTAAATAATGATGGCATGCAAATTACACGCCTTAACATAAATTAAGTTTGTGCCTCAGAAGAGAATTAAGAGCAGTCTAGTTCACTCCTAGCAGTGGTTTTTAATTATAATTACCAAGAAACATTATTACTGCACCATACTATATATATGCAGAGGTTAAGACAAGCTAACAGCAGTAAATTTAACATGAAATAACTATAACTATTAAAATATTGCAACATTAATTAACACTTTACATTTTTTTGATTTACCGAAATATATGAGAGAGAAGCAGTAAAAAATAGGATACAAAGATGACATCTTGAGCAGTCAATAAGAATTAGTGTGACGATGCAGAAATGTTACGTCAGCTTTAAGAGTGTGCTAAAGGCACTGAAGAATTATGCCATCAGAGAGGAATGATGTTTGTTGATTATCAATGATACATGATGATATGATGATTATCGTGCATGACAGGAAAAAGCCAATTAGAAGTGAAGTGTAATATACCACCAAAAGCCAAGTTTGATGGGGGTAAATAAAACACCTTCTTTAATTGGCCAAGAGACAGGATAGTAATAATAGAATGCAGAAAATAATAGAGTTTAAGAAGATATTTATACTAACTATTAGCAGCTGCAGTGATCAGAACCGCTTTGCCTATTCCTCGGAAAGTTAGACTTCCTTGTAAAGAGAAGACAGTATAAAAAAGATTAGAAAGATTTATTGCCCTTAAATGTATGGTAACGACTTCATTACAGAACATCAATACCAACGATACATTAGTGAATCAAGGTTAAAATCTGTGGAGTGTAAAATGAGCCCTGCAGTGTATGAGCTGTAACTGCAGACCAGCTATTTGAACCTTTTAAGCCTCAAGAGTAACTAACATCAACTTTCATCCAGCGTTACTCATTGATTTTCAAGAGAAAAGGTTTTGAGAAAAGATGCTTTGATCTTTTATCAAACTCTCCTAAGCAATTCTTAAAGGAAATAAATGGAGATCAGTGTGGAGAATGTGTATGAGGATATTAAACAGATGAACAGCCAGGCAGGGTGGGTGGGTGGGTGGGTGGGATCAACCAAATGCAATGTATTGTGTCCTTTGAGCACTTGAGCAGAAAAACTAAACCAAGACCTTATCAGAGTCCCATAAAACAAACTGAAATATATATCCAATTTTCTGTTTAATGTAACCACTGGAAATTGAAAGCCAAAGACAAGATCTTTCATCCTGGGAAAGCTTCTATTGTTCACTGAGTAACAAACTCTCAAGTTTCATTTAGGGACTGATGTCATTCTGGCAGGAGTGACGCTAATTTCTTATTGGCACAGCAACCTCAATCAAAGTCAAATTTAGCAATGTCTATTACTTAAGAAAAATAAATTTCCCAAACTTGCAGAACTAGTTTTCGTTCTAGTTATTGAACACTTGAAAAACAAAAGAAAAACAAAACAAACAAAAAAAAAGGAAAAAATAAAAGCTATTATAGATCAATACCTTTGAAGCATTCACACTCTTTGACAAGAACTGGTGATTCTACATTTTCGTGACAAGTCACACAATAGTGGTATGCCCTTACAGAAATAAAAAGCATTTCAAAGAATAATAATTAAAACTGTCTTTTTCATAATCATAAAAGTAACTGAAAGGACTGTTGGAATTTGTAGCATAGGATTAAATTTAGTAAGCCATTCATTCGCTATTGCTAGGCTTAAGAATGAAAAGTACTTTAAAATTCAACATAACTGAAGAGACACTTAATGTGATGTTTATCCTCTTCTTCTATGTGCAGCTAACTGCTGTAACAGCAAAATCTTGTCTGCCAAACACTATTGTTGGAAAATCTTGACGTAAAATAACAATCAGCTTTGGTTGATGGTTTTAAAATTTTCATTGCTTTTAACCCTCTATAAACAACTGCTTGATGCATGGTCTGATCTCTAAGTAGTGCACCACTCAAATTGTATCCAATAAATTTTCCTCAAATAAGAAGAAGACCATGCCCTGGAAGGGTCCCTTTGGGTTTTGCAAGTGACTAAATATGACCTTAAAAGCAGATAAACATAGATTTATTGTTCCATTGGTAAAAAAAAATAAGACAAATTTCCAATATTAATAAAAGGACCAAATAATTTCTTGTACCTTTTGACTTCAGGAGAAGATCCTGCAATAAAGTAGCCCCTGGTTCTTTGTTCAATGATCTTGTCTCGAGGATTGATGGTAAATCTTGAAAACAAAATACAAAATCAAGCAATTTATACAAACCATTGTTGTTCAGTTGGTTATATTAAGTTGAGTATGGAGATTGAAACTTGAGCTGGCCATATTTGAAATAGGTTATAGTTGACATTTGGTATCATCTGATCTTGTACTTCAAAGTCTTCCCTGCTAGTTTAGTATTCAGTCTTACTCTGATGCACCTGCCAAAGCTAAGATTGTCTCATTTGCTAATTGAGGGGAAAATAGAAAATGCATTAAAAACATAAAAATGGAGAATTCCACATAATCCAGTTATTCACAAGAGAGTCAACATATCATCTACTCATAAAGGCTCCGCAAAAACAACTCTCTAATGTTCATAAAAACTAACCATTTAACGAACTTGTTTGTTTACCATTTACATGGGAAAACCGGTTGGTCCACGGTTTGGGCAAATGGTATGTAAAATTCAGGAATGGTAAATTTCTGGCCTGAAACTGGTATCAAGGATAGCTTTGAAGAAATGGAGCAAAGATTTATTCATGAGTATCCTAGTGAAAAGCTCAGGGTAGCTTCATAACAGTTTGAGTCTCTGGCAAGAATAAAAGAAGACTCACTATTGATCTGCTATTAAATATAATTTGCACTACATTACAGTGTGATTGTTAATACACTCACATAGTGGGAATAATTATGTTATATTAATAATACTTACATTTTCTCCCCATCAGGTTTGATTGTTTCTATGGCGATCAGAAGAAGACCGAGCTTTTCAAAACAAATCCTGTCACCAAGGAAATAATATTCATTTGAATTTAATATGTAATCCAATAGTGCTGTGCCGACAAGTCACCTCAAATAATTAATGCTCCCAGTACTTGACTGTTATTTTGGCTAGTTAAAAAGCAGTGTGCAACTACTTCAATTCAACCTCGTTCCCAGTGGTTGACTTCAATTGCCTGGGGTAATTTGGCATCTCTGTTCTTTTTTTAATATGTAAGTTAATATCACCTTTGTTTAAAGTTTTGCCCTGCCTTAAGATTAGCATAATAGCTATTTGTGGGGCATACAGTATATTGTAAAACTATAATGGTTTGTTAGTAAATACACTGTTGTTATATATATAACAACAGTGTATTTACTAACAAAACATTATAGTTTTACAATATATTGTATGCCCCACAAATAGCTATTATGCTAATCTTAAGGCAGGGCAAAACTTTAAACAAAGGTGATGCTTTCTAACTGGGTTCATTCAAACCCACTAATAATTCATGAGCCCATTAACTTATGAAATGGTCAATAGTACATCATGTCCAGTGACTTCCAACTGATAAACCTCCTCCTTATTAGTATGCAGTATTTTAAGAGATAACCCTAACCCTAACCCTAATAAAGTTAATATTAATTATCAGCTGAGCCTTAGGGTGGATTTCCACTGTCGCATAATTTTAAACAGAGACAAGGTATGAAGTGTTGCACTTAAACATGAAGTTAAGCGAGGTTCAACATTTGCTTTTATGTGTGATCTTTTATATATTGCCTCTCTTTTATTTGTGATGAAAATTTTACGTGCAGCATATGCACGTAAAAATTAAGTGATAGTGGAAATCCACCCTTAGACACAACAAATTAAACTGGCCTGACAGTCATCTCAAACAAGCGTTCATGTTTTGAAACTAATGACAGTTATTATTCTTAAGTTTTAACTTATTTAAATCCAAGATAAAATTTTTAATTGTTCTGCCTTAATTAGAAATATTCTTGGACTTACTCAGCAACTTGTTGGAAGTTCATTCCCTTAAATGAATTAGACAGGGTTTCAGTGTACATTTCAAGGTTTGCACCATCTATGTAAGATGTCTTCCAGATATCTGAATCTTTTCTGTTTTCCTAAAATGGATGTAAAGTATATTATATTCATGCAAAAGTACACACAACCCTGTCAGAGCTACATCAAAGTACTGTATGCACATGCTTTCAAGCCTACAAACATTTTGATCAAACTCGGTGAGGCTTTTACAGAAAATGAATAGACGAAGGTGAGATAAAACTCCAAAAACAAGATAATGTGTTAAAAACAGACAGAAATCATAATAAGGTTTTATAGAAAAAAAAAAACCAAAAGTCCTCTCAGGGAAGTAAGCATTTTCAAAATCACTGACATTTTATTTTGAAGAGCACTGTATTATGTATATATATTTGCAGAAGGTACATATACTGGTATTTTCTTAAAAATTCTTAGTGTATAGTGTCCTTACTTAGTGCTATTCATGTTTGACACTTTGATAAAGTTATCTATCTAAAGCTGTCTATTATAATATGACCTGTATGGCTCCATGTGCAATTTCATAGGAAAACCAGATGAAAAAGTTCTTTTGAGTGCAGTACATGTCAAGTGATGGGGCTGGAAAAATGCAGCCCTGCTAGAAAAGCAAACTGATCAATGCGGGTTCGCTCCGTCAGAAAAAAAACCGCAATGTTCAGTCATATGATGAAATTCTTATTGACTGAGTTAGGTAGGGCCAGACGGGAAAATATTTGGCTCTCGATCCGTACATCCTGATTTTGAGTCAAATATTTTCCTGTTCAGCTCTCCCACTCAGTCAATAAGTACATATTTTGTTTCCGGTTCTGTGAAATGATACTGCAGCTGCAGCAAAGAATATATCTTGCTGTAATGAAGGATAGAATAATAATAAAAGCTTTATCAGGAAAACAAAACTTTTGTGAAGTACCTTCGTTATAGTGACAATGACATTGGATAAAACAGTACAACTACTGCGTATTGTGCTTGATATAATATTTATTACTTGCAAATTTACAATCTAAGGAACTAGATACCAGAATGTGGACAGTGATGCTAAATTGCTCAGCTAAAAAGAAGTTTGTTTGAATTAATCAGTGTTGACAAGGTGATGAGAATGATTGCTAAATTTTTTCTCAAGGAAATATACTAACAGAATTTCTATTTTGCATAATTGATGCCTGATTTGGAGTCTGACCATTGGATGCTTGATTACCCATGACACCTGTCGGCTATAACATACAACCATGGCCTTGTTGGTTTGATGTAAGATATGTATTAACACCAGGGTTCCTACTCGTTTTTGAACAAAAAGTTCAAGGACTTTCAAGGACCCATTTCCTATTTTTCAAGGACTCCATTCAGTGCAAAAACAAGCCTTGAGTCTTTTTGTTTTTTAGTTCTTCCACATGAGCAATTTTATCCTGAAGGTCTTTCTATATTCGCTCCTTTTAGGCACTTGAGAATCTGGGTTGCATATACTTATAGCAACGAAATTCAACGACTTTCCAGCACCAGCTTAAATTTTCAAGCACTTTTCAGACTAAAATTCAAGGACTTTCAAGGTGTGTGTGACCTCTGTGCAACCAATTAAAGGAAAGCAAAACTGAAGTTTATGAATTATTATAAATTTAAATTCATCATGTTCCTAATCAGTAAAATTTATTACAAAAAACAGTAATAACTTTACAACACTTACTGTATCATTTGATCTCATGGAAAAAATGTTTGCCAACAGTGTAGAGAATCCTGGAGACAAACAACTTTGTGCAATAAATCCCAATTTGAGCTGCAAAAGGAAAGGAGCCTTAATAATAATAATGTAGTTCCTTTTTTATCAGAACAAGAACAGAATATTCAGCATTACTGATTAATCAGGCACATTGATTTACAAAATATTTTACCTTCCAGTATTTCTAATAATAATAATTTTTTAGTAATAATGATTTCAAAATACTTTATGAAAATAATGATAATGATAATAAAAATAATTCTTCAGCAAACCATCCAGAACTTGTGTTCAATGAAGATTATAATGATAAATTATTGTTATTATTATTATTATTATTAGACCTAATTTTTGACTTAAGTTCATTGTACCTCACTGATGCAGACCACGTCATCTCCACATTTTGGATTCCATGATGGGATGTTCAACAGGTAAGACTGCACACAAAAAGAGAGAAGATATTATAAAGACAAATCATCACTTTACTGTGTTCAACAAAACATGCGCCATGTCTCTGCAACATAATCATGTGATATATACCAATTATTTATTAACATGGAGTATTATTTAATAAGTATTCAGCCATGCATTGACTAGTATCTCATCTAATTTTCTTTTTACTAAAAAATGATCGGATGTATGTTTCTCTTTTAAACTGTGGCCCAAAAATGCTGACATGTTTCCAGTTTTTACTTCCCTCTGCCAAAATGAAGGAATTTGCTTTTAGTTTTCATGGTTTAGGAGCATCCATAACTATTAATGGTAATAATATCAATAACAAAACTGATGACAACTTCCACCTCACCTTGTTCATGTACTGAAGTAGTTGAATAATAATTCTTATTTCTGGATAATAATTTTTTATGGCTACAACCCTGAGAAAAAAAAATAGGCTTACTAGAAGAGGTGTTTTGTGTGGAAGTACTTTAGACATTAAAATGAGTAATTTTAACAGAACTTTAAGCATCTAAGCTGGTTATTTTAATTTCCAGTGCATGAGACGGGCTGCCTTCTTCTTCTTTTTTTTAAAATGCTTTTTACATTCTTAAGAATTTGTTCCTTCCACTGCATAAATGCCAGACCTCACTAGAGACTGCAGTATATGCCATGGTCACTTAACACAATCACTGCAGGTTTTGAGATTGGGATTAATACTATTATTGTTTAGACCTTAAAGAAACTCAAGGACTCAGGATAATGAGATCGAGCTGATAAAGTCTGAGTTCCACTTTCCACAACTTCTTACTAGAGGGTTAACGGTTAAGCCGCATTAAAAGAGGTTTTTGGAAGTCTTTCCAGGGCTCCTGGTTGCCCCTGATGACTTACTTTGAGTTGCAGGGCACCCTGGATTTCACATGTGCAGAGAAAACAATAGTTGTAAGCTTGCCTGATTTCTCATTACTTTTATACATTATATTTGCTTTGAACAGGCAAAAATGGATTGCTAAACATACATTTAATTTTGTACAGCACAGGTGCAGAGCACTGCGGGCTCACTTTTCTTAGACTGCACAGCCTTGTCTTTAATTAGCTAATCCTGATTATGATGCAACAACTATTTTAATACCTCATGATATTCTCTGCATCCTCTTCACCTGGATCGATACACTCTTTATTGCACAAGACAATACAGCAATCCGCCAAGTTCATCTAAAATTGAATAAAACGCAAATGTTAACATTGCATCGTATGCTGTGTGGCTGTTGCAAAATGCATAATGCTGAATGCTGAATAGCCCACACCTGTTTTCATACATGCTAGCTACAGCTTGCCCAAATGGCAGGCTGTGAAACTGACTTTCTTTGCACCCTGACAACACGAAGGCACACCAAGAAGAAGAGGATGGCAAATCATTTGTATGAGACAAACGTGACATGGCTGTTACTTATGAGCATGCATGTTTTGTTATGATCCTCAGTTTTTCTCACTGTGTTCAGGTCTTTTACAAAAAGACGTGTTTAAAGGGAGGCAACGGTTTGGCAGAAACGTTTTTCAGACATAATCATTATTGTCACACTTGTCACACAGGGTTTGCTGTCTTCTTTCCTATATTGCCTTCTTATTGTGTAATTTTGTTAAAACAATCCAAGAACCCACCTTTACTCGTTGGCAGTCATCTCCATTCAAAACAGTTCCCTTGAAAAATGATACACTAATAAAATGTTTTTTGAACAATGATTCAAGCTCTGCATCTGGCAAAAAACTAAAAGGAAAACACAAAAAATGTGACTTGCATAACAGGTGCATTTCTGATGAACAATGAAATTAGACTGAGGCTGAACTTGAGTTTTCTATACAGAAGACAGTTCACCAGGCACTTTAAGGACTTGTGGTCTAACAGGTCTCACTGTTTTAGAAATTTTTGCCAGTGTTCTAGCTAATCCATTTTTTGGTCCAGATGGCCACGGGCTGATAATTTCCACTGCAGTCAAATAAGCAAGACTTTTTATTTTTCATTCTATTTTGGGAAATAAAATTAATATCAGATGTGAATGGAGAGATCTGTTCGTGTTTGTATAAAATAGTAAGTGTAACTATATCTTTTCCTCAAAACAATGAGCTTTTATCTTTAACAATTCTTTGCACCCTAGCAAAGTTATGTTGGCAAATGGCACTGAAAATTCTGAAGTTTAGGTCTTCCCATATGCTGAAATATTTTTACAAAACATTGCAGTTCACAGCAGGGCAGCCGTCATATAACAGTGTCTGGTGGCAAAGTAATTTCTTTTTTTGGCCACAACAGAAACTTTTCTAAAACAATTAGTTATTTTAACTGCTAGGCACAAAGCAAATGATGTGAGCTGGTTATGTCCTAGGTTCCCTACCTAGGGTATGACCTTGAGATTGCACTTAATACAATACAACATCAATACTCACTTTCCCATGATGACTGCATTGATTGAAGTATTAGATCTATCTTTATGGAGAAAGTCTCTTAGAAAGGTTTCCACACTCTGCTTTGTTATATATCCACAAAGAATAATATGCCTGGAATAAATTACACAAAGAGGGGATTTCTGATATCATTTACCGTACAATTCTGTCTTATGAGCTAAGCCTTTCACAAGTATACCTGCCCATCTAGATGCAAATAAAAATGACTCTCCTTGAAATCCCCTATCCCAGGCCACACACCAGATATAATCCCTCCTGTCACTGGATACTGGGTATTCTTTTAATGTAATGATAAATATTAAATTTTTTTGTCCAAAGTGCTTATTAATACTATAGCTCACAGCATAATTTTGCAAATATTTCTTTTTCAGTTTTAAAGCCCTCCTGTTTATAATCCACCCAAAACCTTACTAGGCTTATTGTTTACTCAGTAAGAGTATGGGTGCACACCAACAACAGCTACATGGTTCAGAGTACAGTAGAATCCGCTCGAGCAACCCGCTAACTCAAACTAAATGTCCTTTCCCTTGATCAAAATTTCACTGAAATTTGCCTCAATAACTCGAATTCATGTTCTTGCAACTCCACTCGGATACCATCCAATTAGCTGTTCCTTGTTGTATATTGGTAAAAAACACTATAGTGCAGCGAACAGATCACGTTTTATAGTAAAAGTGTGTAATCATGTTACCATTTCTGATGAAATAAATAATTTAAATTTGCACTGCAGTACATACTATGCACACTGATGTGGTGAAAAAAAATCAGTAACTATTAATTATAAACATGGCAAATTGAATATTCAATTGACCCCAATAACTCAAACCCAACTATTAAACTCGAACTGTTTTTCGCTTCCCTTCAGAGTTTGAGGTACCGGGGTTCTACTGTATATCGTGCAAGAAAAGCTATATCCAAGATTGTCACAATTTCAGGGAGAAGACAGCAGCAAGAGGCAAAATGTCCTGTCTAAGGCAGACCCCCCGCAGATCAGGTGCATTGATCTCTATGAGCATTTAAAGTGTACATTAATGGTTCTCACTTTCTTCCATCTGGTAGTTTGTATGATCCATGATAAATTGTGTGACTTGATAAATATTCCAAAATTGCTGGTATATACGTAGCAAACATGCCCTAAACAAAAAATTTGACATAAGTCATGCAAAATAAAATTTGTTAATATTAACTTTTTATTTTAATTCTGTCAAATTTAAATTGAAGAATTTAACAGTACTGAAATAAAGAAGTTAAGAGTCCTATGGTTCATCAAATGCTGATTAAGTCCATGATATTATATTTGACTATCACAAATTAAGAGAAAAAACTTTCAGTCATACATTAAACTTTGAACAGTTACAATAAAAATTGTAAGCAAACTACCTAACTGCCAAAGAGCTTTGAATTCATCCCATCCACAAACTCAAAAACATTTCAAAGGGAAACTGATACTACGCAATACTAAGTGCAGTGGATTAAGCATCCACTATAGCGAAAAAGGTTTCAAAGAGGAAACAAGTCATGTAAACAACTGGAAATAGAGGCATGCTAACTTTAATCACCAATGAACAGATCGGAATAGAAACAACATACCAGGCCAATTGAGATAAAAAGCATCATAAATGTTCTACCAAAATATGTTACAGCAGATATATCACCAAAACCAACTGTGGACATGGTAACCTGGTGATTAAATTACATAATGAAATTATGAAATTATGAATTATAATTATGATTATTATACTAGTTTTGGATAAATCAATAACCTATTCTCAAAGGATATTTGCAGCATATGCTGAGTCAGGTCATTTTCTGGTTGACCACTATATGGCCAAAAAGAAGCAAAAATGCCCAAACACTTTGAGCACTATCCCACAACTAATCATGAATTGTTTGTTTTGAATTATGTACCACATTACAGCTTCTCAAATTCAGGCATGTGGAAAGGACAAAATAGCCCAGTATGTTTTACTGCCCTCTTCACTGCCTTTTTCTTTTGCTGGACATTTCCTACATTTCATTTCAGTGGGAAAGGTTTTTTTGCCAAACCCTGAGGATAGTGAAATTATTTTGAAGGAAGTACAGGTGTGGGTACTAATGAAAGAAGATTTTCATTGGAATTTTCTGATCATAATTATTTAATACTCTGGCTTGTTTGACAGAGAAATGACAAAATTGAACCACAACAGATACGCTTGCGGGAACAACAGTATACAGTAACATATGTCATAACTATTACAGGGTTATGCTCTATCATCAACCAGTAGCTTCTGGTCGCTAACTTTCAACACTTTGGGTGACAAGAAAAACCTTACTCTGTATTTTATTAAACTTATTAAAGTAATTAATAGCTGGGTCTCTTGAATTTCACAGGATCATTGGAAACTACAGTTATTTTTGTTACTTGCAATGTAAATGTTTTGTACACGATGAAGAATTGATATAAGACAACATTATTTTGACATTACAACACTTAAAACCTACCACAAGGGTGTAAAGACAATCAAAATAATTCAGACTTTGTCCATTGGAAAAACTTAAAGGATCTCCACTGTTCTCCACCTAAAATGGACCAAACGTAACAATATTATAAGGGCACATTAATTTTGCAACAGACTTCTATTACTACTTTTATTACTAAGTTTCATCAAGAAGTTAAGTGTTTTATGAATAAGTAGACATCAGTTAATTAACTGATTTTTATTATCAGGTATTGTATTGTTTGCCTCAAGATGCGGTCCCTTGCTTTGAACTTTATATTTGCAGGCTCTTGTGAATGAGCATTAGAGACAACCGTACCACATTCAACGGCCATTATATTAGGAAACAAAAAGTAAAGTAAAGTAAAACTTTATTGAATCTCCCAATCAGGGTTTTTCAGACCCCACATATAAATAATTCATGAGGTAAGTTTGAAATATTGAAAAAAATATCTAAACGTTAAAATATTATAATAATTGATAAAAACACCAATAGTTAGCTCCCCTAGCTGACAAGAAATGATTCAAAAAGGAATTCTCTAAATTTCTTTTGGAAAGCATGCAGGCTGTCTGCAGCAGTGATTGCACGTGGCAGTGAGTTCTAGAGTTAAATTGCTCTATATAGAAAAGTTCTTTGACCGGCAGGCGATTGATAAGCTGGAATTTTAAGATAGTCCTTATTTCTTGTTGCAATCATGAACACGTCACGAATCCAGTTGCAAAAGATGAAGAACATGAAAAGAAGATCCATGGTTTGAGTTAATGATAAAGACCACACAAATTAATAAAAAGATACTAATGCCTAAAACCGCAGAGCAATATTTATCCTCATGGCAAATCACTGAAATAGCGAGGATCGAAATGGGTCAACCACAGCTGTTGAAAACAAACCATTCACAGTGAAGCAGAGTGCTTTATGTAGTGTTCCGACATATAAACAGTCAGCCTCCTTGCCTGATGATAATTAGCACTACTTATTAAAGCAATAGAAATGTCAAGGTCTGTATCATTAAACAGTAATAATTTTACATTGTGAGACAAATGATAATACTGTTTTACCATTATTGTACTTTAATAGGATTGATTTCAATCCTTCTGTAATTTGAATTTACCCCCAAAACAGCACTTGCCCATTGGGCAAGTTAGGAACAAAAATCACTAGCCCGATAGCAAAATCCACTAGCCCCGGGCTATCAGACACGACTTTCTTTGCACACTGTATTAGATAGTATAATTTTTTTATACTGACTAACCAGATGAAGTATTCCACCAGATGTGAATAGAAGAGCACATAATCTTCCTACCATAACTGTCAGTGAGACGGTACCACTAGAAAAAAAAAATTTTCACATCAGACTATTAACCCATTCGCTCCTGGAGATTTTGCCGAAAAACGCGTTTTGAAGCTAGTCGAGTGGTTTTCTGGTCACTGTCGTGCTATAAAGAGCTAAAACTTACCACAAACCGGTCTACAGGTCGTACACTTGGCGGCCTTCTGATCCAGATGCAAAATATCAGCTTGCGAAGTTCGGGCATGCGCAGAAAGCAAAATTTCGACAGTTTTTGGGTTTAAAAGTGACACAGCAGTCTTGACTTTTACTTTTCGCTTTCTCTCCTCCCTTCTTTTTTCGCTTTTCTTGCCTCATTTTTTTTTTCTCTTGCTGGGCATTTAGTAGGCTTCATTTTGGTGGGAAGAGTTTTTAGGAAAGCTTTTAGGATCTTAGGATTAGGTGAAAGGAAAGGTAGGTGGGTAATGGAACAAGATTTTCATGGAGATTTTCAGGTCCTTGTCACGTGGTTTTTTGCTTCTTTCTCCGGTGTCCTTGACTGAATTGTGGTCATTCTGGTATGGTTTGAAAGATCTCTTCACTCTGCACAAGTTACCGAAGAAAGTTGTCCTTGACCGTTAAAACTGATGACGTCACAAAGGGTAGAAAGGACCTGGATCCGCACGGGCGGTTACGGGCGGTTCAGGGGCGAATGGGTTAAACTAATTATTTTAAGTACTTAGTACCATATCATTCACATCGAAAGGATCATAGAATAACATGAAAATAATAATGATTAAAAAAATGAAGTGCCAGCTTAACCAAGATTTCTAGCTGAAAAATCAGTCAGTCATCCAGGACAATGTGCAACTGAAATATGCCCACGACTGACAGAATTCCACTTAAAATTTAAGTATTTGTGAAGAACAATATTGGTTCTTAGCTGTGTTTCAAAATCACCTAATCTTAGAACACAAACCTGGAGTGTATAATGCCCATATATTGAAGAATGTCTGCAAGACTTGTGAATTGCAGTGCACGAAGAAATCTTAGCCCTTTAAAAAAAAAACAGGAAAACTTCTCTTGCAGTATTGATTGATGAGTACTGCTTAACAAAACCCCTAGCTCCAACAACTCCCATCTTGTTGTTTTGTTTCCATTTGCCATAAAGTACAGTACAAGCAATAAGTTTAACATTACACATATTTTATTTATTATAGTAGATTAAACTGCAGAACACTAATCAGATGGTAAAGGAGGACTAACCTTGAAATTAATGTTTCATTCAGCAGCCAAATGATTTATTCCATTTTTGTCAATATTTTTGTTCTAGATGTACAAATTAATTTCCTACCCCAACCCTAGTCTACTTGTATTCTAGTCCCCTTCACCTGGAATAAATTTTTGTCTCCCCTTGGACATAGAGACAGCAAATTCCTTAGAACTGTAGGCTATGAATGGTTTATGTAGAGTATGACAAACAGATATTTCTCTTACCCAGCCAGTTTTGTCGGAAAGCAATGGAAAGAAAAACATCTGGAATGGTAAGGAAGTCAACCAAGGACAACATTTCAACCCATAACATCAGCTTATCATTCGCTGCCAAAAACTAAAATTAAAAAAAATAAAGAAGATTTAAATTACACAGTGAAGATTACAGTGTACTACTATTTAAGGTATTTCATAAATTAAAGTTATTTGTAAGTAACAAAATATGGTGCAGGTCCATGAAATTATTTATGTCCAAAGTGACTTTCTATTTCATGTCAAATATTTACCCAATTTGGCAGAAGAATTTAGCAATCAATTTAAAGGTATTTGTCATGAGGCTTTTCCGACAACATTCCTTACACGATCATAATTTTTTAATCATTTGCACTTGGATTTTCCTGGAAACAAGGCAAATTTGT